GGACTTCGTACACTACTTACGATTCGGAGGAAGCAAATTGCAAGTTTCAACTTGCAGCTTGTTTAACGAGTCCCCATGCCTCTCACAACTTGGGGTGCTTCATACTGTAGAAAACGCATGCAAGGATAAATCTCTTGCATGATCTCTTCGGGCCTAATATTTTTGAATTGGCTGAAATTCAAAAACTTGAAGATATGTATAGTCAGATCTGTTTTACCAATCTCCGCCAAATTTGAGACATATCACGGCTAAATGATACTCTATACTTTTCGAAAATTGGAGCTCAATACGTCAAAGTTGACGGGAGTTATATTGATAAATTTAATTTTTCGAAAAATTCAAAATATCATAAAATCAAAACTTCTCGATCGATTCGGTCCAAATGCAATACCAGCCAACCTTGGATACATATCTCTTTGTCAAGAACTATTTAGACGATTATCACAAAACTTGCGATCGCTAGAGTGCGAACGTCCTTTTTTTGGAAATTTGAAAATGATATCAATTTTGAGCCACAGCTTCAATCATGACGAAAATTATAGTCAATGAAGTGGTTATAGAGCTACATATGCCTGCAAAATTGGGGGGCAGCTAAATCCGTTCTCGAGTTATACACGTTTGAATTTTGGGAGGCTATTACACACATCTACAATATATTGTATCGCACTAGATCAGTTGAGTGATTGCCTTAAGATATCGAATGAGGACTTTACAAATATTAAATCTATAATACTCTTTTAGTTCAAGTATATTTACCCTTCATTCAAGTAAATATTATTAATTATTAGAAACTAATCACATGAAAGTTTTGATAAAAATTTTCATACAAAATTCAAACATTAATTTTATTTTTATCTATTAAACATTCAACCACAGATTTCATAAAAACAAATTAACACACACACACACACACACATCCGGACATTTTCTCCAAATGTGTTTTCTCGACGTTTTGGCACATTCTGAACATGGTGACATGAAAATCTCGACAGGAAAATTTTCCACCGTCACATAGCGCCCTCTATAAGGAAGCAAAATTAGAAATTTTTTAGATTTTTAGTTAGAACTTTTTATTCATAGGATTTATTGATAGACATGAAAGAAGTCGATATTTATTACGAAATCTCTCGTACAACGGCTGACGAGAGAACGTCGGTGTATATGTATACGTATACACTGCTACATCCACTGTGAGACCGTGCCCTATGCATATAACTTTTCGGTCCGGCATGAAAGAAGTCGATATTTATTACGAAATCTCTCGTACGACGGCTGACGAGAGAACGTCGGTGTATATGTATACGTATACAGTACTACATCCACTGTGAGACCGTGCCCGATGCATATAACTTTTCAGTCCGTAGTAATACCTTAATTTAGAAAGGTTTGAGAAAAAAATCATTAAAAAAATGTAAAAATGATATTTACAAAATTCGAAAAAGGAACATATTACGAAATAAAGGGATAATTCCTAAGGTTTTTATAAATTTATTTTAAGCCAGAGTTCTCTCGCGATTCGAATAGTAAGGCGCCATCGTATACGCAATGATATATCGTTGTTCGGCACTAAAAGGGTTGAGTACTGTGTAGAGTTAACGGTGTAGAACTAGGATGCACTCACGTTAATATACATCGTAAAGTTAATTTTGTTATAGAAAATAGAGTCCTTACAAAAATTTCATAATTTGACCCTGAAAACAGTTACCCTACTCAAGTATGTTCCTTAATACAAATGTATTGTTTGTTATTACTGCGTTATTATATCCAGAACGAAATACGTCCCTTGCATTGATAACAAGTGGGGTGATTTCAAAACCAATGGTAATGTAACAAAGGGAACAGGTGTGATAGGAATGCTAATAAGAAAAGAAGCTGATGTATCCCTTTTAGGGTTTAGTTTAACATCTAAAAGAATCAGAGTGATAGCCTACAATATCGTACTCACTCAAACAAGGTATGACACATCATTAAAAAAGCAATGTATGAAAATTATTCGAATAATTGCAATAATTAGATTTCAAGTGTACATCAAACGTGACCAGAATGAATCAAAACATTGGATTAGATGGTGGTTCTCACCATTAACTACAAACTCATGGTACTGTGTTATCTGCAATGTTCTACTGATAATAGCAGTGCTGCAACTTTTCAGCTTTGTAATCAAAAGATTCCGAATTGTATGTCAACAATATCCCCTCGACGCTTTTTTTCAAATTCTTACAATAATATTCCAACAAGGTATAAATAACATAATAAATTATTTAATGAATATTTCTTACAAGAAAGGTTACCCTGGTGACGCCCCGAAACAGGGTATTTTTTTAATATGTGCAGAACTGCTCAAGATACATACGTAAATTACACTTATAATTATTCGTAATTTCGATTTTTTAGTATACATAAGTACGCTTTAGTCTTTTAAAAAGACATGGATGTTTTAATTGTATCATTTTATTTTATGGCTTCGGATGCATTGTGCACTCTGCTGTATTGTGACACTAGCTCATCCTTTTCTACAGTGATTGATTCAGCGAACGGGGGCCATTGTGAACATCTGTGGGTCCTGAATCCTCACTCTCCACACCTCAGCTACATCACAG